ATCTTCATCATTATCATAATCTTCCCTTGAATTAAAATATCTCTTCTTCTTATCATCATCTTCATCCCCACAATCTTCCTTTTTATCATCTTCATCATCATCATCATCGTCATCATCTTCATCATTATCGTAATCTCCCCTTTTATTAAAATATCTCTTCTTCTTATCATCATCTTCATCCTTATGATCTTTCTTTTTCTCATCATCATCATCGTCATCATCCACCTTATTAAACTGGACGTAAAATGACGAGAATGCGACAAAATTTGCCCCCGAAATTACTTTCTATTAAACCCAGAAGAAATGTCTTTATTTTGCTGGTTTCATTTCAAGTGAAAGTATGTCCGAAGAAGAGACGATGCAAAGATCAATCCCACTGGAAGAAGATGGCAATTTCCTCTCGTTCAGCTGCCGGTCAGCTTTATTGCCTCATTCTTGTTGGCGTTGTTTCCCAGTCATTCTCTCTTGATTCTATTGCAAGCATGTTTCGTGCCTTCGTGCCTCGCATCACGGTCACCATCACAACATCCTCCTTTCCTCATCCTCATCCTCATCCTCATCCTCAGCATCATCTTCATTATCATTCAAGCCAACGAATCAAGAAAATCCACCCGCTTCTCCATGAATGCCGTCTACTTTTGCACTAACTCTGTGCATTTTAATGAGGTATAAAGTGATTTGACTAGTTTGAGTTGTTCAGCAATACCAAAGAATGTGTTTTTGTCTGTTTTTGTGTGTGTCCATGTGCCATTAGAGGGTCATACAATCATGAAGCCAGCAGTGATGGCCTAAACTAGTCAGCACACACTCGACTTACCTACCACTACCACAAATCCCTTTACTGTACCACTAGAGACACATGTTTGGGCAATCTGAAGGACCATTTTGTCCGTGTGTTAGAATGACAGAGTCAACGAACAAAGCTCTATAGGAGAGTAAGCATGACAAGACAAGCCCAACTGAGTTGTCGCTGCGAAAAAGAAGTGAATTCTTCATGAGTAGTGCATTCATCCTAGTAGTGCGTTCATTCGAATAGTGTATTTACTAGATTAGCATTTTCATACGAGTAGTATATTCACTTGAGTAGTGGGTTAACTGGAGGAGCGCTTGGTCCGCCTGCCCGACCGGATGGTCTAACTGTCCGGGCGGTGGGCAACAACGGCCCACAACGGAGACTTCTGTCTCCAACTGGCACCAACCGTCGAGCCGAGCGAGTGTCTACTCAACTCCGACGCCGACTTGATGGCCCAGCATCGCTTCTTGCGCCCCGATTTTGCATTTATCCAAATGGCTTTTACGCTAATTTCGGTAATCCCGATGCTGCTTCAATCACAATTTGGTCAGCCCAAGTCGTCACCACTTCGTAATCCCATCATACACACACACACACACACACACACACACACACACACACACAGACATATGCACACACGCACATGCAATAAAGGGTGGTGTCGGATGATGTGTAGTGCAGATATGATTTGCAAGGCAAGCCAAGCCTCTCCAAAGCTACTGTCGATATGACAAACATTTCATGCGCCGAGACTACTTATATTCATAGTGAGTAGGCATCGAAACCGTCAGCACGACGAGACGAGTGAGGAGACGGCTAGAGTCTGCTGTCAGCCTGCTTGGCTGTCGACAGGCGATTGGCTTCGTCTACACACCCTCGACGGTACCGACTTTCATCCTCCGCATGTTCACCCTCTTTTGAACCGGCCTCGAGTGTGAACCGTGTTGCCTTGACGACAGTTTGACCAGACAAAGTGGGCAAAGTGCTGAGTCGATGTGCAAAGCTGTGTTGATCAGCGCACTGGTGCGGAAAGGTTTGCAAAGTGTCTTGCCACTAATCGCCTGGCTTCGTGAACAGTGCCTCGGCCGGCCGCGAGCTGTGCTACCGAGGCATCCTCGTTTCTGCCACGCAGGTCGGAGTGACTCGGATCGGGTTGAAGGCCTGCGCTGGAGACACGGACCTTTGAGGCGGATGCATTTTGGGGCATTGCAATCACACCGTCGTCATCGTCACGCGAAACGGGCTTTTCTGCCCAATCAGCTTTTGTATGACGGATTCAAGGCCGCTCCCCAATCAAACATGCTCCGTTTGTCCATTACTGGACACCTCCCAGACAAGCGTCATATGCAACCAGGCATGCGGGGAATGACAACATTGAGGGTGAGAGAGAATGCAAGAAAGGAGCGACAACATGAGGGGAGAGAGAAATATATAGTGAAGGGGCGAAATGAAGAGGGTGAAAGAGTGGAAGAGGAGTGGAAAGAGAGAACTGGTGAGAAAAAGAAAGAAGACAAGTCTGCCTGGACACG